AAAAAAAAAAAAAAAAAAAACTATAATTTTGATCCATTCACACTGGACGACTATTGTTGTGCTGGCTGTTGTCGTTTTTTATTTGACAAGCTGAGGGAAAAGAGGTCAGTGCCCCTGACTAAACAGTCAGGTATGGCATATTTTAAAAACTCTGCGGCACACCGGTTGAAAACTGCTGTCCTAGAGAGTTGTCAGTCTCTCCATTTTAATGTAAATGAGGAAAGAAAAACATTTTAAAAAAATAAACGCACTTCCCTAACAACTATCAAAATAAAATGCTGGGAGAAGAGATTTTAGAAAGAAAAAAATGATGCCTGCAATAAACATTAAACTCTGCTTTGAGTTGAAACACATTAATCACTCTGATTTGTAGTTTTACACAGGATGTGGGTCAAGTTTCACTTGAAAGTTGTAACTACAGACTTAGGGTTTTTTACTTACTGGTTCTTAATGGCGACGGTGATTCTGGTTGGGGTTTTGTTTATCTGTTTGTGTTCTCCATCTTTGTCACTTATTCTTCCTGGAATACTGCTACAGCCTGACCTCCCAAGGGGCAAACACTTTCAACAAAAGAAAGACTGTACCGTGGCCCTGTGGACTCACCAAGGTTTTCCCACAGAGGAAGGTGATGCTACTCTGGGTTTTGTGATTCTGGCTTTTCTCCAAGCCACAGCCCACTGCTGTGCTGAATTCCAGAAGAGTTCTGGTTGCACTTTTCAAAAGAGAGTCACCTATTTGGAAAGGAAACAGCATGAACAAGCTATAAAATATTCACAACCACAATGCTATTTTCAAGCATAAGCAAATTAAAAGTGGCGCTATAATTCATCTGAAAGTTTATAAACTTACAAACTGTCCTGTGCCCAGAATTCTGCATCTCAGGAATGGCATCCCACCACCCAGCTGTTCGAGCCCTAAACACATCACGCTGAGTCCCATCATTCTCTCATCTACCGCATTCAGTACATCAGGAAGTTCTACCGGTTCTATGTCCACCCCAAGGCCATCCACATCTCTCCATCTCCGTTACTACTAAAACCACTATCACCTTGCACTTGCACGCTGGCACTGGCCTAACTGTCCCCTTGCCTCCACTCGTCTCGCTCCTCACCATCCCTCTCACCCCGTCCATTTTGCACCAGTGTGATCATCAAATATATATTTTAGAAGCTATAACTCGGCTACTGAAATTCTTCAGTAACTTCCCATTCTATGTGCTATAAAATCAAAATTCTTTAGAGTGGCCCACCAATCAGGTAAGCTTGCCTCAGTTTGCCTGGGACATTATTGTAATAAGCCAGAATAAAAAAGACTAGAACAGAGAAGACAGAGACATTGATGCAAATCAGACTTTAATATATGACACAAGTAACAGATCAGTGGGTAAAGAGGAGGGTGTTCAATAAATGGAATTGGAAACAATGGCAATTTACATGGAAAAAACAGTAAAATTGGATTACTACCTACCACCATATACAAAAATAAACTCTAGATTAAAAATGTAAATGTCAAAAAATGAAACTTTAAAACTCTTATGAGAAAATATAGTTATCTTTTAGATCTTAATGTAAGAAAACATTTAACACTCAATAGCATCAACTTCAAAAAATTGATAAATTTGAATTACTAAATTTAAAAATTAATATTCACCAAAACTAGCTTAAAGAAAACAGAAACAAGTTATAAACTAGGAGATACACAGAGCTGGCAAAGCACTAGCATCAATTTTATATGTGTGTATACATACATGTGTAAACACACACACACATACACACACACACAACACACACTAGCCCTAACCAGTCTGGCTCAGTGGTTAGAGCGTCGGCCCCGTGGAATGAAGGGTCCCAGATTCAATTCCAGCCAAGGGCATGTAAAATGGCTGCAGGCTCGATCCCCGGCCCTGGTCGGGCAGGGAAGGGAGGCAACCAATCGATGCGTCTCTCTCACACCAATATTTCCCTCTCTCCCTTCCACTATCTCTGAAACACAATGGAAAAAATATCCTCAGGTGAGGATTTAAAAAAAAAATACAGATATATATACACACACACACACACACACACACACACATATACACACACACACGAACAAAAAATTTATAATTCTAGGAAATAAAAGAACATGAATCACATCTGACAGAGAACACAAAAAGAGAAGAGATTTTTTTTTTAAAAAACACCCACACTGAGTCAAGACACGATGAATTTTAATATCAAAGGCAAAGGGAAAATTCTAAAGCTTCTAGACAGAAAGGACAGGTCATATGAGTAGATAACTCAATATAAAATGGACAAGACATATTCAAACAGAAGGAAACATGTCAATAAGTATATGAAGAGATGTTCACCATCATTGGTGAACAAGGAATTGCAAATTGAGACCACATGGCATACCAAATACAGCAATTCCATTGACAAAAATTAAATGCCAAATGTTGGAGACGGTGCAGAGCTCTCCTGTGTTGCGTGGAGTGTAAACTGGTACAACCACTGCGTAAGTCAGCGTGGCGTGACGCCCCAAAACTGAGTATCCGTGCACCTTAGGAGCTAGCCATCCGACTCTGAGGCATATACACAAGAGAAGACCATGCACACATATAACAGGAGCCAAGGTGAAGGACACTGAGTGTATTTCCTTTTTTTCTTTTTTTTCCCGAGTGTATTTCAAACCAACAATAATCTGGAAACAACGAAAATGCCCATCAACAGAAGAGTGAGTCACCTTCGGCAGATCCACACATTAGTACAGAGCAGTCACAGAGGAACAGGCCGCAGGGAAAGGTGAGAGCATAGCTGATGTTCAGCGACGTAATACCGTTTACCACTTAAGTCCCCCCAAAAGTTAAAAACGTCACGTGCACACACACAGACTGGGGGGCCGGGGACGAGCAAGGGAGGGGAGGGAGGGGACAGATGTTTCAAATGCACATGCGGGCTCACGGTGACCTCCAGGGAAGGGGGCCGGGGGACACAGAGTGGTCACTGTTGGGTCCCTGGGTTTTGTTAGGTGACATGGCCTAAAACGGCTCATTGAAAACAAAAGGAAAGGCTCGGCGGATGGCGGGCGCGGATTCACGA